TCCGAAACAGCCTCCTGGGACAGTTTAGTTGGAAGTGGTAAGCAGGAAGGAACGATCTCACAGCTACCTGGATGCGTGGTGGCCACAGCAAAAAGCATCCCGTTTTCAAACAGGGGCTTGACCAAACTTTCCTCACCCAGGCAAAAACACCATTGCAACTGCCTTAGAAAATGACAAGTGACAAAGTGCTCCACATGCAGAACACAGCATTGGCCAAGTTGGCTCCAGAGAAATCTGACACAAACTCTTTGCTTTCAATAGGAGTGGAAGAATGTGCCATGCCAACATCCAACAATACGTTTCAGACATATCTATAAACATCCCACGTGAGCAGCTCCCAGAAATGACCTGATTTCCCTTCCTTCTTTTGACTAAGAGAGTGGAATTGCTCTGAATTTACAACAAAGCAAACTAAGGCCTGGTTGGAACCACTGTTTTTAAGAAGATGCTGCTATGCCAGAACTCTCCGTGGTTCAGCTGCTAAATTACACATTATAAAAATAAGTAAGTGCAATTGAGAGACTGTGTTAATCTCAGAAGTTTAAACATCACCCTGTAATGACTGCTTTATACTGCCCACAGTAAAGTACTTTATGGGGCATGCGGGAGGTTTATCCGCACGCGTATGTTAAATACTCCTGGGAATTTTCTCACATGGAGAAACAGGGCCTGACACAAAACTAACTAGTACAAGACACTGCCGTCATTCACACTGCAGCAGGAACGCCACCCAGCAAGGAAAGACTTTACAACACCTAAAAGAGATAAGAACAGCCAGCCAGCATGGCAATAAGATGTTGGTTTTGGAAGTGCAGAATTCCCTAACCTGACAATCAGTGCAGATTCTGGGAACGCAGCAGAAAACCAGCTATCCCCTCACAAGGAAATGAGAGCTTAGGTGTTTGACTATAAACAGATGAGAAAGAAGTATGGGTGGTTTCAGAGTAGTTTACTAATGCCAAGAGTATTTAGAGCCAAATTAAATTCCTTGGGGTTTCGGGTGAGTTCATATGTGGTTTCTCTGACAGACTGCACCCAACTGCCTCTTGCCTTTCTCTCTAGTAATACAGAAGATCCACCCAGGCTGGCTCAGAGATCCCAAGTTAGAAGACTTTTAAATAAAGTAAATATGATGGCAAAAAGTTATAGAGATGGTACCAGTGTCTTACTTTTTAAATAATGATGCTTCAGAAGAATGAATCGGGTGTCTCAGGGGACGTATGATGCCACACAAGACAAATGCAAGCACGCAGCAAGGCACTACATGAAGGACTTTGTGTGGAAGCATCGCCTCACTCAGCTGTAAAACACAAGCAGTAAACTGAAGAGAACTCTTAATCCTTCAGTGTTATCATTATTACAGTATCATTCACCCACTTGTCTGGGAGCTGCCTTCTTCTCTCACCAACTGCTTTGCCTCACAACAATGCATCATTTCTGGCTCAGAGGACCAACAATAGGCTCTCCCCTGAGCTTATGGCATCTCGTCCATGATGCCCTGGCAGGAGGCAGCATAACAATAATTTGACAGGCATCCTCCCAAGGGGGCTCAACACATCAGTCATGCTGCTGACACACTCCACACCCGGAGGAGCTCATCCAGACTGTGGATGGTTTGTAGGTACATGCAGCTGCTCCTGATTTACCATCCAAAAGATGCCAAGTTTTGCCATTTCACTAACAGCAGAACAAGAAAGTGCCTGTGATGGTCCCTGTGACATTGCTGTGCTGGTCTGAGCTCAGCCTGATGGAGCAAAGCAGCAGGTAAGCAGCAGAGAGGACTGAAGTCCTATTTCTAATCCAAGAAGAAATGTAGTTACTGGCATCTAAAAGGAAATGGTAACGCAAAAGCAATTGCAAGTTACCTTTTTATGATGCATAAAGAGTCTCTTTCCAACACAGTAAAAATAATTACTCTTCAGATGTTTTTTAGGAAGAAAATTGGAAAACCACAGCAGTTTCACAGGATCCACTGCTATTGGGTAACACCAACACCAACCAACATTTACTGTCCAGAATAACGCAAGTGATCTTAATCTGACTGCTCTGACTCGATGAATTAAAATTAATGATGTCTTCACAGAATCTATCATTCTAGTACAGCACTGGAAAAGAGAGTTTGGGTCACTCCTTCCCTTCATACAGTGCCATGAGGCAAACAGCCATCAGTTTATCACCAATGGACCAATTTGGTTAGATAACTCGTTTAAAGGATCACCAAGATTAACAGCTTGAAGGAAGACAGACAAATCCTTTCTTTTCCTACATGAGAAAGATGAGGGCTTGCAAATCTTTATGTAAGCCTTTTTCTACTTAAAGTTGCTGAAAGAAAGTCCTAAGCTCTGAACACAGACTCCTTCCTGAAGCTTGGCATGCTGGAATGCTCTGACTTATATCAGCAATGGGGAACTGGCCTTGATTGAGGTTTCTGCCATCTTTACAGTATGTTCAAGGTTCCTGTTGGTTTAACTGCTCTTAAAGACAACAAATCCCTTATGAGACAGGAAGGCTGAACAATTGCACTTCAGACTAGCTCAACCTGTGTAGTTCCAAGCATAACTCCCAGTGCAGGTGATAGCAAGCATATGATAAGCAAAGTTCCAGGAGAAACACAGTGTTATGGGAACCAGACTAAGCTGCTGGGTTTATGGACATAGCTCTGTTCCAGCAGTCAGGCAGTAAAACCAAAATGAACTGCCTCAAAGTTAAAAATACCCAATAAAACTCAACAGCAAGGTAATCATTTTGGCTCGACAGAGGGAGAAGACAGGTCACTCATTCCCACAGGGAGCAGCTTACCCTCCTGACACCGAATTGTAAGACAGCTTTGGAAAAACAGGTGAACTGAAAGCTGTGTTTTCTGTGATATGGATTTATAACACTGGCCAAGCCTACACCTCTCTGGGGCAAATAAAAACCTAAAGACCAAAAGGAGCGTAAGCAGCACATCCTCCAGCAGCCCCTCCTGTGGTGCCACAGCTCCCCCAGGGGACCAGGCTGATCGTCCACTCTACATTCCCAGCACCGACCTTCTGCCACCTCCTACTTATTAGCGCAGGTTCCTCAGATCTCAGCTGTGAGATCTGCTGGATCAATGCTTGTCCAGTGCACAGAGACAGCGAGTCTGGATGGCACCTAAGGGATGAAGGGATCTTCTTTCTACCTTTCCCTTGGAAAAATGGAAGTGAACACCAGTCAGCAGCTGAAGGCCTCACCTCTAATATTGAACAAACCCATGACACACATACACTTGAATGACTGAAACTTTATATTGTGTGGGTTACAATGGTCACATTTGCAACATCAGCTGCTTTTTTCTTTCTCCTACCCCTCCTGGTAAGGACTCACATACTCTCTGTGGAAGAAATGATCTTCTACCGATGCAATATAACACCAGGCTGTCACAAAAGCAAAACTGAAAACTCCAGCAGTAGCATAAAGAAGGTATTTATTGCCAAGCAGTATCACATCAGAATAGGAAAGCAGAATAGGAAATGCCATAGTAACTAACAAAGTACAGGAGAGTGTCTTGCGAATTCAACAGATTTTAGTTTCTGGCATCTTCAAAAAAGAAATGTCTTGGTTTGGCTGAAGGAAACCACAAAGTGCAACTGCCCTGGAATTGGGATGATCAGACACATATTGGGGCAATAATTACAGGTAAATTACTTCTAAACAGATCTGTTCACTGTATTTCTAACCACCTCATATTTTTTTCTTTGTATTTGAGGGCCTGGCCTTTCTTTGTCTTTTTTAGGTCTCAGTACTGTAGGGATCAGTTTTCTGAGGTTTATTCTCTGGGCTGGCAACAGTGGTTTACTCTACTGAGAGGATAAACAATTAAACGAAGCTTAATGTTACAAATGATTCATGTTTCTGGTAATTCCTCAAGTTGAGGGAGCACATTTTTTCATGAAACAAATTATGAATGCGCTTGTTTCTTTGGTATTAGCCAAGCACACTGATGTTTCATGTTTCAGAGCTGTGCAAATGACGTTTTCTCCATCCCAGCCAAACCGTAAGATACAAAGCTTGAAGTTAACAGCAAAAATTAAAGCCCCACAAACTTCCCCCCAAAACCCAGTCACTTTAGAAAAGGTAATAGTGTGGGATTAACCCATTGTTGTTCAATAGCATGGCCCCTAACTCATTCCCTTAAAATTCTCAAAACAGAACACATTAAAGTTTGAGGGTAAACAACAATACAAGGAACACAACAGGAATCAGCATACCTTTAAAGAACAGAAAGCAACCTTAAGGTGAGATGTTCTGATTAAACACCTTTCTTTCAAGCAAATGTTGGAAGACAGCATTAGTTCTTGACTAAAATACACCTTCTTGTGGCTTCAAACGGAAATTGAAGACTGATTTATAATCACTGTGCCTTTTGCCACTGAGATGGGAAAGGTACATCAGTGGACTTCCAAATAGGTCCTTCAAATTACATTCTGGCAAAATACATGAGGCTCAAGTGAATCCCCTTCAAGAGTGACCTTAGCTCGGTGATGCAATCGGCAACTAAAATGCTAAAGCTGCTAGTACACCTCCAGTAATTGTTTTCCAAGTCACATCCAAGTGCCTCCCTTCATCATGGAATCCGTCTCTCCTAAAACAATGCCCAAACACAACTCCCAGTTTCCCAAAGCATGGGCCGGCTGTATGTCATTTGGCAATCTGCACTGGTGCAAGTGATTATGTTCTCTCCAAACAGCCAAACCAAGATAAATGGGGAAAACAGGAGCTAAGTCACACCTTTTGAGAAACATGCCTTTTCCTAATCATCCGACACCATCAGTTTATCCTGTGATTCTACATTCACCTTGTTGATAGAAAAGCTACTACAACTATTACACCCTGGTTAAGTGTAAGGTTATTTATTCCACGAAGACATGAGTAGTTACGACAATATCATTAACTTCAGGTAATATTGATTACATGACCAAGGGATACAATGAAAATGGTAATACAGATCTGTAACTTGGAATGCTTCCACTGAGCTCTCACCCCTGATGCTTCTTCTCGGTGACGTGATGCTGTAGCCTGGGTTTGTTAGGATTGTGCTCAATCAGCCAGTCAGCAAGCCAGATCTGTGGAACAAAATCCCAAACACTTTCAGTGATCTGTTGTCTTCTGTTAAATATATGGGAGAATAATAAAAGCATTATTTAAAACCTGACCCAGAGACTCTCCTGCCATGCTCTGAAATAAAGATTTTTCAGGAAAAATGGGCACACAAAATAACCTGGTTTTTCCAAGTGTTCTTTTCAATCTTCACAGCTTAAATTGCTTTGAACAATTCACACTGACCTGCAGAAAACTTCTCCTGGCAACACCAATCTTTGTGTACTTATAAGAATGTGTGTTCCATACTTCACATAACCTGGTGAACTCTTATTTTGGGCTGAGGCTGTACAATAGACATGAAACTGCTTAATGAAATACTGCTCCTGACAACACTTACAGGTACTTTAGCTAGGAATTAATTCATTGAAAGTGACAGTCTTCTGCACTGAAATCACCTTATAGTACCTAAAACAAACCCCAAACATGGTTACTTTTTGAAAGTCACCTTCTAAGTTTTCCAGCACGTTGTACTTACATAAGAATGTGGGAGGCAGGAATGTCCTAACTTCATCCACCAGTCCTGGCCTGGCCTTAGGCAAAACAACCCTTTACCTCCATTTCTCCACTTGTAAAGAGATGTTTTTAACACATCCTTATTTACTTCACAAGGCTGACGATGATTAGTTTCTGGAATGCTACTTCATAGCGTACTGTGAAGTGGAAGAACTCATAGAATAGTAGACTACTAAGGTAAGCAATGCTCTTCTTTTATTACCAGGTACAAACACAGAAGCCCCAAAAGCCCTTAGAAAGACTCTTTGGTGGGGAAAAAAATCACTCCAACTTCAGCTGCCATTGGTCTGGCCTTTGGGCAAAGGGATGGATGAAAAGACTTCTTCAGCTCTGCTTTCTAGATTTCTATGGTAACAGTGCCAGACATCCAGCTCAAGCGAGCAGGTTATAAAGCTGGAACAATCAAAGTACATTTAATCTGACCTTGTGTATATCACATAGAAACACCCCTGAATTATTTTTCAGGCTTTTCTTCTGAAACGTACCTTGTAAAAAATGCAATATTGATTAAACCCCTGATAATGAACTAGAATCCACCATAACTGCCAGTAAGTTGTCACACTGATGAATTATCTACATTCTTAAAGAAGTACTAGTGTGAACGACTTGAACTTTAAGAACATAAAAAAACATTTACTGTATTTTTCCAGATGAAACAAAGTTAATTTTCTTTACGGAATGAAAAACAACCCCAAACACCATCACCACCAAAACAACAGGAAATTAACTCTAGTCTTTCCACTAAGAACTGTAATTTGAATGACATCCATGCTTAAAAGAATAGTATGTGAGAGGAGGGCAAGATGCATCAGCTTGATAACTGGAAAGGGGTCACGAGAAGACAGAAGAGTTGTCTGCAGGTCAGTTTGACTACTTGAGATGGGTTTCACTTCAAAGAATTGTAATTCATTTTCCTGGGGAACTGTGGAGCAACCCAATGAATGCTAATCAATGCTATATAATCAAAGTAATAGCTTATTCTAAAGAAGAATTAATATTAAATAAGCACAATGATAAAATATAGACAGCCTTGCTAAGAACTCAATAGTATTTTACTCAACTGTGTAACTATTACCAGGGTGACTAGCATGTAATCTCACCTAGTGCCTATTGTATGAGAGTTACTTCATCTCACCTCAGAATCAGTAAATGAAGTAAAAACTTCTATGTGACATCGTATGATAGAACTTGTCTTACCTTTCCAGCCATCTGTAACAACTACATGCTAGAGAGAGTTATACAGAAGTTACCTATACCCCCTCTCCATCACTTCATAAAGCTGATTTCATTTAGTCCTGGCCCTCATTTCATCTGTTAACAAACCAATCAATGTCTTGAAAGGCAAATGTTATTTGATTAGCTCATTAGCAGGTAGCTAAACCAGCACAAAAGAGTAGCTTTCCTATATACAGGTGCTTTCCTAATACAAAGTAGGTGTAGCAAAAAGCATACAGCACACCACTGATCTACTGTACATACCATTGGGTCTGCAGGCTTCTCTTTACACAGTGCAGTGAGCCCAGCTAGTAACGTGGGCTTCACATAAAGATTCAAGTAATCCCTGGCTCTTTGTCCAGTGGGAATTGGCTCCATGATGACTGTAAAGAGTAACCACAGGTGTTGAAAAGCAGCTTGTAGAGTGATTATAAAAGGCATTCTTTCAAAGGTTGTTTATATGCAGGCTGCTGTTTTCCTTAATAAGTTAATAATACATAATGGTTTTTATAGCTTCTCCCACAATAAATTGCAAAGAAACTACCTAAACCCCTTTATAATGTCCCTGAGGTAATCTCACTAATTATAGCCAATTATGAAAGGGGAGGAAATCAGATCATCTGGGGAAAACCTATATCCTTGAAGATGTAGTGGGAGCAGGAGAGAAACAGTATATCCCATGTTTAGTATTTCCTTCTTGCAGTGTGAAGCTGGTTTCTGAAGACTCCTAAAAATCTCACTTAAAGTCCTCTTTCGTGGTTAGAGTGAGAAGAAGAGACATGATTTGCAATGGGTGAGGTTTGTAGGGAAGTGCAACATCTTTTATTAAACTACCTGATACACTTGACAAAACCCCATGTTTTTCTAGCAGTTTCCCTTGTACGTTTCTGCCACAGAGCAAAGCCATCATTCACCTCTTACTTTACAAACAAGAGATCCTCTCCAGCCTTTTTAGGTTTTATGACACATTTCTCTGGCACTTAACTTTGGAATTGCACTATGAGGGCATCCAGCTGCTGGTGAACAGGAATTACTCAGCCTGAGCCCAAGCAGAGAGTCAGTCTTCTCAAGTCAACAAACATCCCTGGGGGCTGACAGCACCAGAAACACATGCTAGAATGTAAAAGCTTCCCATTTCCTCTCATTTACCAGCTTTGCTCCAGTTCCCAGACCACAGAGTTTGAAAAGCAGAAGCAACCCCTGTAACTACAATGGCTCTTCAGATACGTTTTGGTATGCCTGTCCTTAGCAGAAAATATCAGCTTGTGCATAAAGACTCACATTCTCATAAAGCAAACAAGCCCAACCTCTTCTAAATCCAATTGTATGTAGAGTCTGGGCAGAGGCAAGTTGTAACAGGGAAGGACACTATCCTCCAAAGACTGGCAGTGTATTACTTGTGCCATCTTACCTTCTGGAAACATGAACCGGATTTCTCTTTCTGCTGCGGAAATGCTGCGACTGCCATGAAGCCCATTCCTCAGGTCATCAGTCCCATAGATGGCTCTTAAGCTAAGCACAAGAGAAATAACTGCTTGGTAGGCAACTGCAAATCCCTGCCAAGAACATATGAAATCGATGTATATGGACTAATCAACAAGACATTGGCTTGAAACAAAATAAGTAGCTACCTAAAATATATGCTGACGCACTCAGCGTTCCCCATAAAATGGGTGAACTTTGCATGCTAAAAGACAAAGGTGGAAAGCTTTGAGTTTGAAGCCACTCCAAATCTATATCTCTACTGTAAAAACAAAAAGGAGAGGAAATCTAGTCTCAACTGAGAGAATTACAAGATCCTGCTGACATCCCAAGGCCAATCCATGAGCTACCTGTGAGGGTGAGTTCTCTTTGCTCTTATGCTGTTTGATGGTCCAAGCAGCTCCTTCCAGTACGAGACTGCACAATATCTGGCAAGAACCATAGCAACTATTGGTCCAGAACTCATATAGGCTGTTAAATTAGGGAAAAACATCTTTCCATATTGGTCTGCATAAAAGTTGCTACATTGCTCTGGGCTTAACTGCAGCTTCCGTTTCTACAAAGTGTAAAAGAGAAACGAAGAATTAACAAAGGCTTGAAATGAAGAGAGCTTGCTACCTCAGACACAGGGATACAGTCCTCTGCTGTGTCACATCTTCAAATGCAGAACAGACACAGAGTCATTTCCCAGCCTAATCTGATTCTCCCAGATTGGATCCTCTTCAAGACACAGAGTAACAATGAGCAAGAGTTTTCCAAGTGAATTAAGCAGCCAAACAGGCCATTTGAGTAAGATGTGATTTTAGCCTATGCAAAGTACAGCATTTTGTAACTGTTTGATGACTTAAAGCACAGTCAGGGCACCGTAGAGAGAAAATGAAGAGCATTACAAGGGCAGGATTTAATTATTCGCCTGCTCCAGTGTAATGTTCTACTTTTAAACCACTTTCTTTTCAGCCCACACTGTTAATTATGCAATTGTTCTATTTTTCAGGCTTTCTGATTCTCACAATAGCTGTCTACCTGCAGGCGGCCAGGATTAGGACCAGGATTAGGTTTGGGAGGTTATCAGAAGGCACAGGGCAGTCAAGAAGAGAGAATTAAGAAAATTATTGTGAAGTTCATTCTTTGAGCCTGAACTTGTGCAGCACAAGAGCACCACAAATTCTGATTCCTATTAACTTTGGTGCCAAAAGTCACTGGAGACGTCAGAGGATGTTATAAACATCTTGTCATTACAAAAAGAAAGAAATCCAAGAGTATCTCTTTTCTCTTATGATAATTTTTGCATAAATTAAAAGGTAAGAAATTACAAAGGAACAAATGTGGAAAAGGGGAATTTGCAAGAATAAGAAAAATTACTGCATTTCCAGGGAAAAGGAAGAGGGAAA